TTATAGCCTCGCTTCCTTTAGCCTATATGCTTTTTAATATTGTGTTTTTTGTATTTACATATTCATTTAAATTTCGATTATTATTTTCCAATAATTTTCTTGTTAAGAACTCTAGTCATATATTAAATGTTAATACTTAATTATTTAACGACTATTTACCTGGAATTTTTTATAAGCTTATATTAAAGTTTAACAAAAATAATAGTCATCGATCAATACTATATTTAATTGAAACAAGATTTTTTAATATTCTTTATTACTGGGTTCTTTAGCCAGTTGGCCAAAAAAGTATTCCTTAATATTCTTGACTTTTGCTTACGATGTTTTGGAAGTAAGAATCTGGAATATATAGAGGTTAAATAGGTGTTCCACAAATCAGTTTCAATTTTATTTTTTATCTGTTTTTCACCCTATTTCTTTTTAACGAAAGACCTATTAAATGACTAACTCCATATTTTATCACATCCAATGCAAATTTGCGGAATTTCGCGATTCACCGAGACGATCCACTGGCGTCGTCATGCCGGCGCCTCCTCGTCGCATCTGCCACCCGCACATTATCGGCATTATGCAGATATCTCAATTCGTTATCATTTAAATCATCGGCACATGCGCGCCTACGCCAAACAGGAGCTGATCTGCGGCGGAGCTGGCCAAAAGCGGCATTCATTAAGAATTTAAATCGCACATAATTAAGGCTCAATAAATAGCCGAGCCGGCTTCAATATGGGGCATATATTATTAGCTGAGACCGATAAAAGGCGGAGACAACAAAAAAAGGCGAAGATAACAAACGATAACCGCAACAACAAACGGCATAATTAAATCATAAGACGTTGAGCACATCATTAAAATCGTTAAAATCGCTACTCGACTTGAAAACTGGCTGTGGAATCTTTTTTTTCTTTCTGTTAAACCATATAAATAAACATTTATAAAATATATGTTTATTTATGAACATTTTTGTTTATTAATTCAAATGGGGGTCTGTGTGTCGCCGATTTGATTGGATCATGTGGGGATCAGCGGCGTTGTTGATTTTGGCCAAAGCTCCACCCGCGATCGTTGGATGATTGAGATTGGGATTCAGGAATGGGGGGTTTGGGGGTTGGAGGTTGGGGTGGGGGGAGTTTGGGGTTGGCGGAGTGGAGTGATGCCACGGCACGTGGTAAACGAGATGCTTCAAAGGCGCCGGCCACGGCCCACCTAAACTCTTGAATACGAAAAGCTGGCTTTGGTCTGGCGGCATAGGCTTCGGCTTCGGCTTCGGCATCCAAGATCCAACATCCAGCGGCGGCATCAATATATAATCAGGCCGCTCCGTCAGCCTGCGGAGGCGATGTCCATAAAACTGGTTGCAAACGCACATAAACCATTTAAGCCGAAAAGAAATCGGCGCGCTGGCAACTCTAACGAGATAAACAACTCGAACTCGGAGCGCAGCGGAGCCCACTTTGAATGGTATGTATTTTGTGTTTTTTTTTTTTCTGAATTTCGGTGCGCTGCTGCTCGTAGTTTTTTGTGTAAGAAATCGATTTGGCTCTCGGTTATATTTCGCCTTTTCGAATTGGAATTTCAAAGGGGCCGCATTTCATTTCACAAAGTCAAAACAGTTAATTTATATCATGTCGCGACTACTGGTCTTACTGATTTTGCATTTTCGACACAGCTCCGGCTACCGTCTTTCGAAATTGAAATATGAAAATGAAATCAATTTGGGGCCAGAAACCTGATTAGCACCCCCCACTGCAGGCGGACATCGGATTGGGCATAGAAGATTGAAGTCGAGATTGGCGGCGAACGGAATGGATGAGTCTTGGATTTGGAAAATCAAGAGATCCCAAATTAGTCACATTATAAATGTACATACAGATATGTGCGGCCATAAATTTGCGTATATCTCCATGGCGTTCATTTACTGAATGGATCTGAAATCGAAAATGAAATTTCACACAGAAAAAAAAAAACTAAAGATATGACTTATTTTTAAACTATCTGTAAGGAGATAAAGTAATGTTTTTTACATTACATTTATTACATTTTAAATTTGTAATTACGTTATATTTAGATTCGGATAAACTTATATTTAGAAAAAAAAGTTAGTCTTGACAAAAATTTTTAATATTTTTCCTATTGTTCCAAGAACATCTCAGAAATTGGTAAACAAATCTTCAATTAAATTTAAAACTTTTCTCACAATAAAGACAGTCCTGATAATATTTAATTCTTTACTAGTGTAGTATTGTAACTTTATAAGCCTCTAATCTAATCTAAATGCAAATATTTGTCATGAAAGGACATTAAAGATGTGTTAGTATTGCCAACATTATATGTTTTGTGGGAATAAAGTGTCTATAATTAGTTATTAAAAATAAATAATAAAAGGCTTTAATGAGTACGAATTTTTTCCTGTGCATCGAACTATGCTGGATGAGATGCGGGGGATGGAGATGGCTGGCCTTGACGCTGCGGTGCGACTGCGTAACTGAGTAGCCGCCGCAGGACAGCCGCACTGCTGACACCGTCACCGTCACCGTCACCATCACCATCAGCATCAGCATCGCCATCCCATCAGCAGGTGCACCAAGTCAGCCCGGCTCAAAAGGTGCCGCTGAGCCTGAGCTAATTTCAAATTACACACTTCATTCGCCCGGGGAACTGGGACAGTGTATGGCGGCGACTGCGATTGGGATTGAAAACGGTATTGGTATCGGGACATGGGGTTCAGTAAGCCGCTTTTGAAGCCAACCACAATTGACAAGCGTGCCCCGCACCGCACCATTCCGCTCTGATCCTTGAGATCAAAGTCGCCGGCCGCCCGCACGCTCGTTCCTCGCTCCTCGTTCCACCATCCTCCATCCTCACTCCTCGCTGCTCAATCTCGATCAACCCAATCCTCCAGTGGAAAAGGTCCGATGTAGTCACTTGCCTAACGGTCGATCGATGGGCTCGTAATGTGCGTGCAAGATGGATTTTCGGGCACCGTGGGTGTGGCTTATTTTAAAGCAATTAGGTCCATAGTGAAGCGTGTCTTCGTCTCTGATGTACGAGGACACTTTCGACTATTGTCCGCGCCCCTTTCATCTCGCCCGCTAACAGATCATTTGAGCCGGCCATTTCGAGCCATTAAATTGATTAGTTGCAGCAGCGGGGGACGCTTGGAAATTACTCAAATCTCGTGATTGATACTTTACGGTGGCACTTATGCATGCTGTTAAGCAGCAAGGACTTTACAAATCGAATGCTGTTGTGTTTGTTTGGGGACATAACAGTTGACAGTTTAATCTTAAGCGCCTAAAATTGGTAACTAACTTGTGAAGTTAAGCTTTTTGGAATAAATGAACTTTTTTTGTTTTTACTACAAAGTACTTTATACATAATATAAAGATACATTTAAACAGCCGATAGATCGATTTTCGTTTAAATTTTTTAAAGACATCCCCTTTTTCAACTAGATGACAGCTCTATAAGTACAAGGCAAGTTAACCCACAGATAGAAATAAAAATAAAAACCTCAAAAGAGACATTTTAAAAAGGTTATTTAAAAATTATATTAATTAACAAAAAATTAATATAATATGTATTTTGAAACAATTTAACAAGGAGTATAAATTAGACCCTGGGTAAGAAACTTTCTGAAATGCAGAAATGAAATTTTAGAGCTTGAATGCCATTCAATTGGAAATTCCAACATTTGACCATTATTTTTCCAGAAAAAGAAAATTAATTTTATTTTTTTCGGGTTTAGATAATTTTTCAATAGTTTTTTGTTCTAACTTCTGGGAAATTTGAACGACAGCCAAAAGAGTGACTGTTTTAATAAGGGGTTACCTCATGATTTTTTCCGAAAATTCAACCAAAATGAAATTTTTTTACTGTGAATGCCAATTGATTAAAATTTTGTAACGAATTCCACAAGGTATCAAGGTATATTCCAACATGTGACCATTAGTTTCCAGGGGTTTAATAAGTTTAATACTTAAGTTATTATACCCGTTACTCGTAGAGTAAAAGGGTATATTGTATTCGTGCAAAAGTATGTAACAGCTAGAAGGAAGCGTTTCCGACCCTATAAAGTATATATATTCTTGATCAGGGTCACTAGCCGAGTCGATATAGCCATGTCCGTCTGTCCGTCTGTCCGTCTGTCCGTCTGTCTGTCCGTCTGTCTGTCTGTCCGTATGAACGCTGAGATCTCGGAAACTATAAAAGCTAGAAGATTGGCATTTTGCATGCAGATTCTAGGAGTTCCTACGCAGCGCAAGTTTGTTTCAAAAAGGTGCCACGCCCCCTTTAACGCCCCCAATCGCTTAAATACGATTTTAAAAATTTAAATATTTCGGAAAAGTAAAAATGCAGTTTTATTGTGTTTATCAATACCTATCGAAATGTAGAAGAAATTTTTCAAATCGGACCATTCGTTAAAAAGTTATGCGTGATCAAAGTTTCTATCTCCATCTCCCTCGCACTCCCTTTACTTGAGTAACGGGTATCTGATAGTCGGGGCACCCGACTATAGCGTTCTCTCTTGTTTTTTTCCTGATTTTGGACAATTTTAAAGAGTTATTTGTTCTAACTTCTTCTAAATACGAAACACAGCCAGGCAAAAGTCATTGGACTGCATTTTAACAAGATTTAAAACTTTTTATTTTTAGTATTTATTGATTAAACTCATATTTAGGAAAAAAAAGAAAGTCATAACATTTAATAGTGCAGCCGTTTTAAATTCAAAAATTATTGAATTCACGGTAAAAATGTATTAAACATAAAACATTTCATTTTCTCTTAAAACCGTTATTGATTAATCAAATATCTGCAGAGATAAATGCTAAAATCGAAAATAACGGTTATCAGCACTTGAAACCACGAATAAAACAGGAATTGGTACACCTTTTTTCATAAATCACAGTGCGCATAAACGTAGCAATTGCATACATAGGCATTCCAAACAGTGGGCGTATCGATATATCGATAACTACATCGGAACCCTCTCTAAATGATGCTATATGTCGCCATCTTTTATTAGAATTGGGCAGCTGTTTCGCCTGAAATCGTAAAATTAAGGCAAATAACGAATTCCGGCGTCCTTTTCAACTCCTTGTTTATTAGTAATTAAGTGCCGGCAAGTAATTAATGAACGGAGAACTTCGATTGATCTTGGCGAGAAATCGATAGGCGCCCTCTTCAGGGCCCCCGATCCGCTGTGCGTCGCCACTTCTAAAAAACCTTGTTTTTGTACAGAAATGCCGAGGAGAGGGAAAAAGGACGAGGACTCCGAGGATCTGCAGTCCTTCCTCAGCAATTTCCACAAAGAAATTGAGGGCAGCAGCGATGACAAGGTGGTGCACACAATCCTGAAGGCCATTCGCGCCGAGGATGGCGATTTGGACGAGGAGGAGGAGCAGGACGCGGAGGCTGGCAAGTCGAAGCCGGAGGAGGAGGAGGAGGCAGAGGAGGATGCGGAGGAGGAGGATGACGACGACGACGACGAGGATAAGTACTTCATAGATGACGAGGGCAACTGCTACATCAAGACGACGCCCAAGAAGCAAAAGGAGCTGCAGAAGAAGCTCAAACAGGCGGCAGCGAGGCCCGGAAGACCAACACGTTCCGTGGTCAGCAAAGCCACCAATAAAGGTGGGTATCCGTTGGCATAGATAACACTCTGATCACTTACATGCCTCTTTTTCCTTAGCCATCAATCTACGCCCGGCCAAATCGCCACCAAAAGCCGCCGCATCGAAAACTTCACCAGAACGCAAACCCATCAGCGTTCGTCCAGCGCGAGCAGCTGCTGTCAAGTCCAAGCAGATTGATTTACCACCTCCAGCGGCTCCAGCTCCCAAAGTACCAGCCACCAGGGGCAGGCCCAGGAAGAACCCCGTTGTACCTAAACTCGAACCCATGGATCTTGAGCGGGAGATCGAGGAGCTGGTGGATGATCCTGACATCAGTTCAGTGGTCAGCGATCTGGCGGACTATGCAGTGGACAGTGCTGCCGTAGAAGCAGCTACCTCTGTCCTAGAACCAAACGAGAATGAGGTGTACGATTTCGAGGACAGCGCTGCTGTAGAGACGGCAGATGATAAAAAGGACCTGGACTATGTAGTGAGCAGCAAGGAGGTGAAGCTGAAGCCAGCCGCCCAGAATGCGACTGCCTCGGGAAACAAGTACTCATGCCCGAACTGTCCGTACACGGCCAACAAAAAGTTTTTGATCTCCCGCCACTGCCGGAACCACGATGTCGTGCCGTCCTTCAAGTGCTCCATCTGCGAGAGGTCCTTTCGAACGAATGTGAGCCTGCAGAACCACGTGAACACACACATGGGCAAGAAGCCGCACAAGTGCAAGTCTTGCGAGAGCGCCTTCACTACCAGCGGCGAGTTGATCCGGCATACGCGCTACAAGCACACCAAGGAAAAGCCACACAAGTGCACGGAATGCAGCTACGCCAGCGTGGAGCTGACCAAGCTGCGCCGCCACATGACCTGCCATACGGGCGAGAGACCATTTCAGTGTCCGCACTGTACCTACGCCTCGCAGGATATGTTCAAGCTGAAGCGGCACTTGGTTATCCATACTGGCGAAAAGAAGTACCAGTGCGACATCTGCAAGTCGCGATTTACGCAGTCCAACTCGTTGAAGGCCCACAAGCTCATCCACAGCGTGGTGGACAAGCCCGTCTTTCAGTGCACCCTCTGCCCAACCACTTGCGGCCGGAAGGCTGATCTGCGCATCCACATCAAGCACATGCATACCTCGGACCAGCCGCTCTCGTGCCGGCGTTGTGGCCAGCAGCTGCCCGATCGCTACCAGTACAAACTGCACGTGAAGTCCCACGAGGGCGAGAAGTGCTACCGCTGCACACTCTGCAGCTACGCCTCGGTCACCCAGCGCCACCTGGACTCACACATGCTCATCCACCTGGACGAGAAGCCGTTCCAGTGTGGACAATGTCCGCAGGCCTTCCGCCAACGCCAACTGTTGCGCCGCCATATGAATCTCATTCACAACGAGGAGTATACGCCGCCGGAGCCGCGCGCCAAGATGCACAAGTGCCCCACCTGTTCGCGTGAGTTCACCCACAAAGGCAACCTTATGCGGCATATGGAGATGCACGACAATTCTGTGAATGCTCGCGAGAAGCAGCGCCGCCTGAAAATGGGCAGAAATCTGCGTCTGCAGAAGGATGGCACTGTCGTCGCGGTAGTCAAAGAGCAAGACTTCATGGAATTGGACGAAGACGGTGATGAGGACAATCCGGAGAGCTATGACCTGGCTGAAATTGAACCGGAGAACTCAGAGGAAGAGAACATTGAAGAGGAGGAAATCTTACCTGACAAGCCCACACCCGTTATTATTAACAAACAGGCCAGACTTGCGGGCTCCGACAACCAGCCCACGATCATCAATCGACGCCTTCGAGCCCACGGCAGCACCAAGACGTTCCATATCAAGGAAGAGCCGGACAACTCGGACTTTACAGTGGAACTTCAAGACGGCGGGGTAATGGTCGTTGAACTAGTTAACGGAGACGAGGAGGTGGTGGTTAAACGCGAACCGAGCGCAGCCTCCAAGATTAGTGCCAGCAACTGCTTTGGTTTCGAGGTAGGTTTAAAAACTAGTCTTGATTTCTGATCCATTAGTTAAAACTTTTTCTCATTTAGGAGGATGATGATTTTGATGAATTCCCGGAAAACGAAGTTACTGGAACTTCACAGGAGTTTCTGCAACTAATGGATATGATTGAGCAGGATACTTAGTCCCCTGAAAAACAAAATGTGGAGGAAAGTAATTAAGACTAACTTATGTACATACCAAGGATACGATAACGATTACACGTTACATTGTTTTCTAATTAAATACAAACTAAAAATGTTTAAAAATATATTTCACGGGTAATTTTGAGTTTTTAACCATAAATTTTGCAATTTTTTTTTGTTTTGCTAAAACGAATTCTGAACGTTCAGATTAGATTAGATTCTAAATGATTTAATGCCAATATATCGAAATAAGCAATAATGTATACCTTCATTTCAAGAGCCCAATTTTATTTTACCTGTAAATAGCCCACAGCGATTAATTATAAAGGATCCCAAACTCTTAATTTTTAGTTGACAACTTGGCATAAATATTTATTTAAATACATACATATTTCAATGTTTTCATTAGTGGTATATGGGCAAAATGTTAGGTGCGCTTGCGTTTGTTAGCTGCATCCGGGCGTGCACTGTAAATTCTCGGCTATTAGTTGTCGTTCCTACCATAAAATGTTTGCATAGTTTACAATTTGTTTTCATTTTCTCTTCAGCAATCTGGTTACTCCTCTTGTTCTTTTTTGTGGTTTCTCTTGCCGTTTTTTCAAGTGTATAACTACAATAAAAATATATATTTATATATAATATGTATATAATTTTTAGGTGGTGCAATGTGCAAAAATCTGCTGTGCAGTGCATCATTATCATTATTTCAATATATAGTTGTTTTCTTTTTGTGTTGATTTTGTAGTTGTTGCATAAAACGTTAACAATTTGTCGTTAATAGTACGTATGTATACGAATTGCCTTTGTATAACAATTAAAATGGAACAACGTCGATAAAGGAAGTGCACATTGAGTTCCGAGTGAGTTAGATTGAAAAATGACACTTAGAAATCGAAAATTGCTTGCAGAATCGAGTTACGAATACGAAACACACTTAGAAATACAAGAGCTAAAAAATTGCATATCCTATAATTAAGTTAATGCTCCGCGAGATTTGCTTGACCCCATTCGCTGGGCAAAGGAAGAAAACTAATCGAGCCCCCGACTGTCGTCGTGGCCCCGTAACTAACTACGTAACTTTAAAGCGAAATTAAATTAAATGTAAACATAAACAAATTCTTGGAAAGCTGTGCTATGGCTCTTTGCTAGCTCACTGATAAGCTTGGCTTATATCAATTTACTTTTGGCTTAACAATTTTCTGTAAGGCTGCTGTTGGTTTTGTTATCCATCCCCATCCTTTTATTTCCATTTCTATCCTTCCATTTCCGTTTTCATCGCTCTAGTTTTGGTTGAAAGTAAAGGGTTCTCTGTGGGTTTTCCGGGTGGCAAAGGGGAACATAAATCTCAGAATATCTTCAGCTTCTGCAGGAAACGCAACAGGGGCGCACTGAGGCAGGCGGGCGTCGACTGGCTCCTGGCCTGCTGCTGTCTGGGATTGGCGGCAAAAGAGGCTATGCCGTTCGCAATTCACGACTGCTCCCTCTTTTGCCTCTTTGGCTGCTAATTGCAATTGAGCGTGTTCTGGTTGGGGCTGCTGCGTGAGACGTTGTTGTGATTGATCTGGTTCGACTGGGTGATGCTGGCGCTGTCGCTCGTCTTCCACGACAGCAGCTTGTTGAGGAGTCGGTCCATGTACGGATTGCTACCCAGCCGAGTCACCTGTGTGGAATGAGAGCTATTAGCTGGGAACAAACAACTTAGTTTATGACCAATGATGGGGAACATATTTATAAGTTAAAAGTGGGAGGATAACTCCAAAAACTAATCTTTTATATTCACAATTCATCCACAATATATATATATTTTTTTTTTTTTTTACTTTTATAAATGTGGAAATTTTATTCTTAAGATTAGCACACTGCTACCCAACTGGCAGCTTAATCTAATCGGTTTTTACAAAAATTATACAATAATTACAATACAATAATTAGGGCAAGAAGTAAATTCGTAATATATATATATATATATTTTTTTTATTAATTAAAATGAGTTAGGTAATGTTGCTAGGTCAAAACTATCCACAATATAGGATTTTAAATAGCTATACCTTTAACATATTGTTTTCATTAATTAATTAGTTCTGTAGTCAAAGGTTGATTCCTATTAACTCAAATGAAATGTTTTTTTTTAGATCGGTCGAACTTTTTGCTGAACTAAAAGGACATATTTCACTCAAGCGAATCGTTTGCACGTTCATTTACAGACTAAGAAAATAAGTACCTAATATGCGTTCCTAGGAACTATTACTACCCATCACTGGTCTTTGACAACTAACCTCCGCCCGCGCCTCCGCATCGAGCGTCTCCAGAACCTTGCGTGTATACTGAAAGCTGCCCAGCTTTTCCAGCAAGGTGATGCAGTACTTCTTGACCTCAATGTCGTGCGTGCGCTGGCGTAATATGTCTGTGGATACAAGCATAAGCCCCAGCTTGATGAGTGGAGAGCCTTTGGGTGAGGTCAAGACGTTGGACTTACGTAAAACCTGTTTATCCTGCTTCTGGGTGCGAACCGCATGGATTACCGGGAAACCGAACTTGCCCTCCGTCAAATCCTCGGCGAAGCTCTTGTTCTCCGTGTACTGTAGGGAAATGTCATTAATGATTAACTGATTTGTGCACATCCATTCCTTCTACCCACCTCCTTTAGACTCAGATTGCAGTAATCGTCGCGTATCTGAAAGTACAGGCCCAAAATAGCCGTCAACTTGGAGTAATCCTCCTTGTTGGAGCTAAACAACTGCATCAGTCGGATGGCCAGCATGAAGAGGCCGCCAGTCTTGCGCACAGTCATCATCTTGTAATCGGACTCTGAGGGACACGTGAAGCTGTCGCGCCAATAGATCTCCATGCCCTGTCCCCGATGTAGTTCCAACAACTGTTCCGTGTACACCTTGGTGGCCTGCAAGAAATGCGGATTAATTTGCATTCCCCTGAAAGCTCAATCTCTGGTTTCCGTCGTACCTCCGGGTGTCCCAGCTGCTGCACCTTCTCCAGTGCCAGGAACAGAGCGTAGTTGGCCGCATTTATGGTGCTGGCCACGCCGTAAATGGAATGCGCCACCGGCACACCTCTGCGAAGGATCGAATTGTCTTCAATATCATCAATGCTGTAAGTTAGTATCAAGAACACATATGTAGGAGCAGTGAGTTAATTGTGTCTAAGGCAGTTTAGTCTATTCTACTTTAAAATAATAAACTTTTATAGATTTTAGTATAACATGTTTGATTTTTTTTAAAGAAATATTTGTACATATGTACACTTGAGAAGCTCAACTTTCAGAATTTAATGGTAGAAAGTCACAAGCAATCTGTTATATCAAAAAAATGATGATTTCTGCAAAATTTAAATAAAACTTTATAAGAGGCTCATATGTCGATATACTTATGTATAAAATTTAAAGCAAAAATGATGACAAACAAATATGAAAAAGAACCATATACATATGTGTTCGTCGAATTATAGTCGAATGAAATATTTGCAAGCTTAAGTAACTGTTTATATAGTCAGCATTCCGATTCATTTGAAAATACGATAGTTTACCAATCAGCAGATGTTTTTGTTAATCTATAAACCACAAATTGCAGTACATGAACACGTACGGAATAAGAAAATATGGGTTTTTAAATAGAATTTCATAATTCAAGCGTGAATAAAGTGAGGGAAAATCGTCACGTGTCCAGCACCGATTCCCCCGCAATAGGTGTGTCCCCCCCTCCTTTTGTCAGGCTAAACATACATATTTATGAACATACGGTGGCCCCATAATAGATGTGTAAATTTAAGCCTCGCTTAAAGGCCGCCATCGCTTCAATAACTACGGTGCCCGGCGGGTAAAACGAGCTGGGCAGCCCAACATTTGCGTAATTAAAAAATGTTTGCGCTCCGCCAAAGCTGGCAAAGCCATTGGTAGGGAATATGGATGGTATGGGACGGGATTGGATTGGATGGTACGGTACGGTTTGGTATGGCATGAAGGCGTGGGCGTTGAAGCGACAACGCACAAAGGGGCTGGGGACATGGGAAGGATGCGGGGCACAAGGAGGCTGGATGGTGTTGGGGAAAATGAGGAAAAAGGGGAAAATAGTGGGCGTGCTGCGTGGCAAGAGTTGTGACAATGCCTGTCGACTGGCGACGGGCTGACTAACTGACAATGGGCATAAGTGCATGAATGACGGACGGACGAGGGTCGGGGTACTTGGGCAGGACTGACTGCTGTAACTGCTGGCATCGTTGTAAAACTAAGTTTTTGCCAATATGAAAATGCATTACTATAAAAAGTACGAAAAAAAAAAACAACTAAGAACATGCAGGCCACTTGGGGGAATGAGAAGGCATCCAAGGAACAATGCTGGGGATTTTAAGCAGAATTAAGGCCGTTTCTGAGTGCTTGCCTTTGAATTGGAGGCGACAGGTGGCCGGAGGCAAGACAAGATTAGCCCGAAAGCGACATGAATACTTCCTTGGCTGCTACTCATAGATAGGCGAAAGTCCCTAGCCACTTCGACTCAGTTTTACTGACTTTAATTGAAAAGCCGCAGACACTTCAATTGGCCGAGCTCAAAGTTTAATTGTGGCGTTTCGTTGGCTCTCTCATTGCCTTGCTCACATTTTACCCAGTGGCCCTCTGGAGAAAAATCTAAATAATTTATGCAATTTCGGATCCGGCAATGGAATGCAAAGAAATTCAATTGTAAACAGAAAAAGCTGCGGGCTCATGATGAAATTTGGAATTGATTTGAGGCTAACACGCACTCTGCCCAAATAACCAACAAACGTCCGAGAACATTACTCAATATGGCCAAATCAAATTGGGGGAGAGGAGTGAGTCACCATCCGAATGATAATGCATAGAATTTTATGTGTGCGTTATGGAAATGAACTGCTGATGATGATAAGAACTTCTCGAGCGAGCATATGGCGAGCATTGCTATATATTTCGACTAGAGGGGAGGTTTTTTTTCCTTCATCACTTCCACAAGAACTTCACACATGATTAGACATTTAACTGGAATCCATCTAAGCAAAAGCAAATAAACTAAATGTATACAAATACAGGCTGTCCAAGTGTGAAAAGAGATTAAACATGCAGGAGAAGGGGTGAAAAGGGGGTCGGGGTTTTTTTGGGGTACAAACAAAAGGTAAACAAAGCCAAGCAATTCAGAGCAGAAAACACAGGAAGGCAAAGGTCAAAACTTAAAATTAAAACGCGCTACATTATTAGTTTACATACAAAATCGACAGGTATTTACATACGGTTTCCGTCAAATAATTAGCACAGGGAATTAATATGGTTTCATGGGGTCGTACATTGGTTTTCTAATTGTAACAAAATGTTTATGTTTCAATTTATTTTATAACATGAATGTTTATTTTTGTACAATATAATATAATTTAAATTTCAGTAAGTTCAAAAAGTAGTCTTGAACTGGACAATGTAAACTTTCTCTGACAAAATTCTAGTGTATATACGATAAAAGCCGACATAAACGACATTATATTACATGTTGAGATTTATTGGCATGCATTTTAAAGGCTATTAATCTGACCGCAACTGTATACTGTATTTAAATGATATACTCACAGCAAACTGGAATTGTGCAGCATCTGCACAATGTCCCCGATCTGCGCCAACTTTTCGGCCGGTATGAGCAACCAGTGATTGAAGGCCAAGGCCAACTCCGAGCGGAATTGCTTGCCAGGAATCTGCTGTATGTATGTGAAGGGTTGCAGCAGAATCTGGATAACGTTTAACCATCGGGCGCCATGTGGGAGTGGGTTTTTGTGCGTGGGCCACATGTAAATAAACCCCAAAATAAGTGGGTTGAAGAAGCAGAGGGCGAAGGAGAGCTGGTTAGTTGGTGTTTTTTCGGGGGGGTGGCCGTGGTGCCACTTTCAAATGTCAAAGTTCAGGGGTCCGGAAGGATTAAGCCGTGGGATAAGTACCTCATCCTGCTCCTTTTGCGTTGATTTATCTTTGGTCTTCTGCAATATGCTGTTCAGTTCTTCCATTGTTGTTTTTGTTGTGGTTGTTGTTGCTCTGCCGTGGCCTTGCGAATATGCTTTTGTTGTTTTGATTGCGGGGGGTGGGCGAACGCGGGTGGTGGCGTGCTTTTTGTTTACCGCTTGGCTCCGCGACACGCGTGACTAGAATTGTTTGTGAGCCGCTCGTCGACGGTTAAACTCGAATATTCGCGTTTTCCGCTCGGATCAAGGCAAATACTCCATGGAATGGCCAAAAACAGACTGTTATTAAAGTTCTTCCGCGGCCTGCACATTAGAGGTGGGAGGTAATCGATACAATCATCGATACAATCATCGATACAATCGAGGGTGCTTTTCGGGGAATCATCGATTGCTCCAGGGATGCACATTCAAGTCTAGTAAAGTTGAGGGAAGTGTTTCACTAAAACATAAAGAAAAATACTCAAGCAAAACGTTAATATTTTTAATATCTTAAAAAAAAGTGCATTTACAATAATTTGAAAAAACTCAAGTATATATATACTTGACATGTCATATTATTTCGATTTCTGTCACTAACAAATTGGACAATGGTTATTCAATTGTTATTTCGTACACTTGAGCCAAGGCTGTTTATCTCCGAGGATTGCATATTAAATATTTGAAAAGTTTTGAAGTACAACACTAATTTATTAATTATAAAAAAGCCATATTTGGCTTGAAAAAAAAATCTTCGGTTAATATCGATTACTCAGTCTTGCTCGCCGTGCCATCCCTATTTCAGTCCAGGTTGCCTGCGTGGAAAATAGCTTTCTAGCTTACTTTTTGTTAATTACACACAAATTTCACTCATAAAACAAAGAAATCCTTACGAAAATGGCTGCGGCAGTACCGATGCGAACCAACTGGAACTCGAACATAAAACACAACGAGATGGAGCGGTAGCAAACACATAAAAACGAGCAAAACAAAGTCCGAACTCACATGTCCCCATTATTATTGTTATCACAGGTGGATATGCATCTATCCCGCCTACATCAACAGCAAAAGAACTCGTCAGGAAGGCCGCCGGCTGCCTAAGGAGAACTGCGTGGACAATCCCACTTATGTGGAGATCCGGGACGTGCTGTCCGTGAGCAACCTGCAGTTCCTGATGGAGAACATGAAGTACTGTCGCGAAAAGAGCAGCGAGCTTCAGTTCCGTGGCCGTTTGCGCGTTCAATTGCGCAACGCTGACGGAACCCTTTACAATAAGGACTTTCCATCACGGGAGTCCATCATGTTGCACATCGCCAGCAAGATCCCGCAACTGAAGACGCGCCAGAACAAATCCGGCGACTCGTACCACCAGCAGTCGCAGCCACAACCCAGTGCATCTGGATCCGGAGGTGGTGGCGGTGGTGGCAAGAAGGGAAAGGGCAAACGCCGCTGATAACTTCGGTGGTTTCTTGTTAGTTGGTTTCTTTTGTAATAAATGCTGTAGACAAATGTTATTTGTTCTGGGCCAAGTTCAAGTGCGGGAATTCGGCCTTGGCACGCCTAAGTGTGCCAAAAAAAATCAGCATGTAGAACTCAATTGGAGAACCCAGTTGGGAAATGTCTCAAGATCACACGAAGTCAGCATAAATTCCGGCGAACTAAAATATAGAATCAACTGTCAGTCACGAACATCTACGATTTCACCTGGTCAGCGTTATAAAATCGGTTGGGCATCGCAAATGAACAAACAGTTTGACTTGAAGCACCCACAATGACGAAGGGAAAGAGCAGCCTCTGTGGCTGTATGGTTATACTTGCATTTGCGGCTATCCATCTGGCCAACGCTGTTCCCTCGACGACCACTACCACTCAATCCCCATCGACAGGGGCCACCTCCACAAAGGCTACCCGCCGCGTGAATCCCCTCACGGAATCAAAACTCGAGAAGAATTGCAAGGCTCTTTGCGAGCACTGCGGCTGTTTGGGTTTCTACTGCGGGGAGGAGTGCCTTTGCGAGTGTAATGACGACAACTCGGATACTGAGTGCATCCGCACTATGCAGACGAACGCCAAGACGCTGAATATGCCCTTTGAGATAGTCATCCAGGGGCCAAGTAGCAATCGCTTTGTGCGCAACGCCCAGCAGTTTGAGCAGAAGCGGGATCTGGTGACCAGAAGTGCGTTTGGTTCAGGAAAGGCCTTACGAAATCGTCGCTCTAACATCACCATCTACAAGCCTTCCAAGAAGTCTGCTCCGCAGCCCAAAGCCAATGCCCTAGAGACGGCTTCCAAGACTTCGGAGCTGGAGCTGGCCAGGCACAAGAGATCTGTGGATCACTTGGAGTGGTTTAATGACTTTGCCAGCTCACTGGTGCGTCCCTCGCCGTTGGGTACCCGAGCTCAAAAGCAGCAGCGTGAGTCCAGGCCATCGGGCTTCAAGCGCCAGGCTGCTTTGGAGGAGCCCGCTCGTCGGGAACCTTGGTTCCTGGAGCAGGCTGCTCCGCGTCTGACTCGTCCCGCTCCCCTGAAAAAGGAGCCAGCTTTCCGGAAGACCAAGAAAAGTCCTATGTCTCGTAAGATCACCAAAAGTAAAACCCAACAGGAGCAAATTCGCAGAGAGCCGGAGCGGGAGATTCGGCCACTTCGTGATGCCCTCCAGGTGGTGGAGCGGATTCCCAGGGTGCTTCAGGATACAGTGAGTCATCTGTCGGCAGATTCCCGAAGTGGAGATGTCTTTAGCCTGAACATTATGAACGAGGCCTTGCCCCAGCAGAAGGATCGCGAGGATGAGGAGCCTAAGCCCCGAAGGCCAAGTGCCTCCTTCCGGGATGTCCGGCGTAATGAGATCGTTCCAGAGGCTGTGACCCTTGCTGCCCCAATGGATCTTCCTGCCCGAGCTCCCCTTCCCATCCAGCCAGGTGGTCTCCTGCTGCCCTGGTTACGACAACGGCGACTGATGCGTTTGCAGCAGGCCCGGGGAAATCTGTAGAGGAAATTAAATTAATCCAATCCAATATTTCCTACTTTTATTATTATATATTGTTGTATATTTTTAAGACGTCATTGGGTCTCACAAAATAAATTTACAATTTTGTAGTTCCTGCAGTTGCAGGAATTTTAGGAGCATTTCAAATTTTCTGTTTTTAAGCTTGTCATTTGTGAAAAGCTAGACTTTGAAGATACTAAACTTAACTGGAATGCGATTATAAGTTCATGCAGTTACTGGTTTAGTTCATAAATTTATTTTTTCCCTAAAAATTTAATTTATAATCATATTCACTATTTTTTTCGACTTTTAAAAAGTAAATGCCCACTTTAAGGATATTATATTTTATATTTTTTTACATAATTCCAGGAAAAAACAATTTTAAATTCCAATATCGGTTGCAATTTTTAAAATTATGAAATTTTCAAAAGGTATTTAAAGTTTAGAAATGCGTAATTCGAGAAAAAATACGTTACTGCAGCAACAATTAAACAATTTATAAACATATCCATAGCATACTTTCGGGCTAAATGTTTTGTGGGGGGCCTCTCTTTTTAGCCCCATCCCGCTCTCTCCCGACGCCTCCATCTGATTTGTTGGCAACACGACGTGCGTTTCTTTAGTCTGCCGCGACCGTTCATCTTCAGTGGTTGTCGCCGTTCCGCTGCAACAGGTAGTTGTGACTCCGAATCTGAACCCAATTGGTAATAGGTGCATTCCCCTACGTGCTCGAAGCCTTACAAAGGGATTATAGAAAAAGGGAGGATCAGCGGAAGGGGGTTACATTTTCTTCTTACTGGGGAGAAATATATACATATATATATATACCCATTGGGAGCAGTGCAATCTGACCAGAGAAAAGCGTTTTGGATGATGTGTGTGTTTCAACGATACAAAAACCAAGAGAGTAAAAGAGTAACAACAAACGGCGACAATGCCTGAAAAGTTAATACAAAACAAAAGAGTATATCATTTATTTATATAGATGCGTGTACAAAAGCAACACAGTAAATTGTCGTGCGCCGGCCAAATAAGTTCAAGTGCCAAAATAATTATAAATCAAAGAAGAGAGTAATACAAAGCAACTTTTCAGTCTAACGAAACCAAAGATCAACGGTCGCTATCCAATATCTAGTATTCAAAAGACAGTGAGTGTATGCGTGTCGGAGAACCAAAACGAGAATCTGGCCTCTCCACAAACAACAAGTGAGTGAATCAATTGGAAACATATAATCAATCTGAAATTGATTTACGTGACTTTCCATTGAGAAACTAGGAAGTAGAACGTTTTCCCAATACCGATTGATATGGCTAATCGCTGCTACTCCAAAACACCTGTTGAGCTTGTTTTGTTTTAATTTGGTAACCACTAATTGTTACTATTTAAGAGCCTGTACTGGAGAAAAAATCAAGTGGTCTAGGCTTCTATTTCTCTGATAAATAAAATCATGTAATAAACTGGCGGGTTCTGGTCGAACCTTATCATGCCATATACATAAACGAAAAAAAAAACAAAGGCAAACTCACAGTGATAGTGACTTTTACTAGGGAATGCACAAACCCAGGCACTTGGTAACCGGTACCAAACCCGATTGCCTCTATCTTCCGAAATTACTGTGATAAGTTTAACCAACAGTTTCCGTATTTTCGGTAATTCTGAGTATAGTCTGGAGATAATCCACTTAATATTCAAGTTGCCAAGAAGACTCTGTTTGGGGTTTTACAAATAAATAAATTCACTATCCAAGTTTTAAAAATCCAAAGTTAAAAGTATTGATGTTCGAAGAACGATTTGAGTTTTTATAGTCTAAATTTAAAGAACTTTAAATACTGATTAACAACATTAAAGACTATTTAATTATTCTATAAAAAAAATTATTTTTTAGAGGAATAATATTAAAATCTATTTTTGAGAGACTGTTGAATATTTTACAAAAGTAACATTAAAATAATGTGTATAAGCATGTCTAAAAACTGACACAATCATTTACAAAATTCCACACAACTTATTCGAAACCAGATACGAAATGATTCAGCGGTGGTAAAATCCCACAAAGACTTCTATCACAACTAACGCACCCACCAAAATACAAATCAGCAAAACGACCATGGAGTTTGCACGACGTGTGTCCGCTCGCTTTGAAACCAAAAGACTGCCCGAGGACGTGGACGATGGCCTGGAGACACTGGAGGAGTACAAACAGCGCTGGCGCTCCGTACGAATCATCTACTTCACCATGTTTCTAATGTCGCTGGGCTTCAGCATTATTCTCACAGGCATATGGCCGTACCTCAACAAGGTACGTTTGTTATGGATGGCTCATCTACCGATTTTTCGTGACCATTACTCTTCAGCTAGATCCCTATGCGGGCAAGGAGTTCATGGGTCTAATTGTGGCTGCTAATCCACTGGGGCAATTGATCTTCAGTCCGATATTTGGATGGTGGGGCAACAAGCTGGGCAAGATTCGCCTGCCCCTGCTTATTTCGCTGGCCCTGTTCACCCTCGCCAGTGGCATATATTCCTCTCTGGAACTGCGTCCGGATAATGTCAAGTACTGGATGCTTTCCTCTCGGTTCCTCATCGGTGTTAGCTCGGCGAATATAGCCCTGTGCCGGTCTTATTTGTCGGCTGCCACGCGATTAAGTGAACGCACCCATGCAGTTTCAATGGTGTCGCTGGCTCAAGTCCTGGGCTTCATTATCGGACCGGCTCTGCAGGCGGTGGTAACACCGCTTGGCGAGCACGGACACGTTTGGCTATGGGGCATGATGCACTTCAACATGTATACGGCATCCGGATGGATTAATGTCCTGATGAGCATAGGCAACTTCATGATGTTTCTTCCCGGAGTGTTTGAGGTAAAACGAAATGTAACTTAGTTGAATAAATGTTGCGTTAATATGAACTTGTTTTTAGGAGCACAAAATCGCTGCCCGCGAAGTGATGGTAATGCAGGGCGGCACCTCGGAGGAAAGCACATGGAAAGGCATCAAGCCGAATTATTTATCCGCCTGGACTTTGATTGTCGCGTTCTTTGTGCTGGTATTTAACTTTGTATTGCTGGAAACGTAAGTTGTCTTAAACGAGAGTACTTTCCAAGCTGATTTGACTTTTTTCTTCGCTTTCCAGATTGGGAACATCCCTGACGATGGACATGTTCGCATGGACCGACAAAGAGTCGCTGTGGTACATGGGCATAATGATGACCACAGCAGCTGTAGTCTCCCTGATCACATTTGTTTTGATTGAACCCATGTGCAAGCTCCTTGCCGAACGCTACGTACTCATCTGGGGCGGTTTCTCGTTGATGTTCCTCGGCCGAGTACTCTTTGTGCCCTGGGGCCCGGATCCGCCCAAATTGGCACAGCCCTTCGATCCCAGCTGGAATATAAGCAAAAACGATTCTATCTTTTTGGGATGCCCGGTGACGACGCAACCGTGGTGTGCCGAACTGCCGGCCTTAACATTGACGCAGTTTATCATTGGATTTGCATTAACCTCTGTGGGATATCCCATTGGGGTGACTCTCATCCAGACCATCTTCTCAAAGGTTCTGGGACCTCGACCGCAGGGCGTCTGGATGGGTTGGATGACCGGTTCAGGCTGTCTGTCGCGCGTCCTTGGTCCTGTTTTTGTGGGATCTATCTACACCCGTTTGGGCACATATTGGACCTTCGGCGTAACCTCATTGATGATGCTAGTTTCAATGTTATTGCTCCACTGCAGCAAGTGAGTTTAGTTAACTTCTTCAATGGGGGTTTCCTGGTATTAATCACACTTTCTTATCTTGCCCCAGTCGACTGCTAATCCCACCGACATTTGAAAAGGCAACACCGGTGGAACTGCAAGAACTAAACAAGCCCAATGGTGGTAAACAGGAAGATCACTCACCCGAAGGCTCCCTTTTGGACAAGGACGAGCGCCATCCCTCCATTTCGTCCGAGCATCGCAGTCATCACTCCACATCCCACGCGTAACGCATGGGCTGCTTCAACGTCGCTGCAATACTGCCCCTTAATCTAGCTTTAAAATACAGGTTTATTTTTGCATATTTTTCGACTGCTTATGCTTTTATTGGTACTCGCAAAGTCTACTGTTGAATCGATTCTCTGTGGATGTGTGGGGGGAGCACGTCGTTGTCTAGTCTTTTAGGCATGGTTTGCTTATAGGGAGGATGCTTCGACAAGTGTTTCCATCTTCTTGTTTAAGTATACGAAATATGGTTAGTTTAGGCTTAGTAAAATACGCGTGGTTTACCAAGGCGGCAGCCACAAATGTGAAAAAGTCGTTGGCATCAGCATGTGCTGTTGGTGTGGTTGATGGTAGTAGGCCGCTGGCGACCAACAGAGCATCCAGCAGTCCCCAGCCGTCATCCTTAGGTTGCTGGCTGTGTTGTATAAAGTGTGGGCCATGGGTAGGGACATGGGCAGGGGCATGGGTAGTGCAACCGCCACTCAGCTGCTGCCGTTGTAGTAAAACTCATCTCAGTAGGGCGCATATCGGCGACCCGGAGGAGAGGGACCACGCATGCCGCGCGACGAAATCATGCGCTCGTCGAATGCGTCGCGGCTAAAGTCCTCGTAGCCGTGTGGAGTGGGCGAGCTATTGAGGAATAAAGTAACACATTAGAAACTGATTTATTGAGGTTAAAACTATAAATAGCTTTGAATCATTGTTTCAAATCCTAAAATATTCTAGCTTTGATATAGTTTAGTTTAATAGAAAAGAATTGAATTGAATGCAAATTTATGTAAGCACGTCATTATTTGTTATTAAAATTTTACCATTTTCTTAGTTCTCGTTCGCTAGTTTCATTAAGTAAACAAAGACCGACAAAGAACCTTCTAGAGCATTATTTGCAAGTAAAAATAGAGAAACTAAATGTCAAAGGCTAACAGCCGACTAGAAGTTTTTTACTAGACTTGAGAGCTTGAATAACTTCACATACAAATGCGGACTGGCTTTAGAAATGGTCTAATGTAGGTTTAAGAGTAGGGCAAATGTGTTGATTGCCTGCAATCTTTAGGTGCAGAGTGAATAATAATTCTCCAAGTGCAAAGTATCTTATACACAGGAAAAGACCTTGAGTCCTGCTCTGCTTTATCCTGAATACAGTCCTAGAAATCGATTCAGCACCTACCCGTAGCGACTCATCCCGTTGCTGCTGCGAGGCGGAGGCGGCGAGCGACGGCTGAACATGGTGTCGTATCCACGTGAGACGCTGCAGGAGCGCAGGCTGCCACTCAGCGGGGGCGGCAGGGGCATGGGCTCGCGGCGCGAGATGGGCGGCGGCGGGAAGTCGCGCATACGCGAAGTCTGGTAGCGACGCTCGTACAGATCGCGTGAGTCTTCGAAACGGCGGTCATAGTAGTCATAGTCCTGCGGGAAAGAAAACAGGTATTACATAAACGGCTGCTCAAGGAAAAGATGGAAACATGGCAAATGAATGATTTGATTGGGGGCAAATGGATGCTGAATTTACCCTAAAGCCATCCATGATGCGGTCACGCAGGAATGGCGGCGGCGGTGGTGGCGGCGGATACGGGTCACGACCGTACATGCGATCTCTGTAGCCACCGGCGCTGAGCGGTGAGGGCGGCTCGCGTCCGCCTCCGGCGCTGCCGTACAGTCGCGGACACTCTTTCGACCAATGCCCGGATCTTCCGCACCGATAGCACTGCTCCGGATCGCCCATGCCCGGCTTGGGCCGCACACGACTGGTCGACACTTGAACCTTGAGCGGCTGGCCGTCGACGACGCGACCGTTCAGCTCCTTGATGGCGTCCTGCACATCACCGACACAGTCCAGATGGACGAAACCATAGTTGCGCACAATGTCGCACTCGACGACGGTGCCGTATTTCTGAAACAATTCCCGCACCTCCGGCGCCCGCGTCTTGTCCGTTAGATTTCCCACGAAGATTTTCGTTGTCGGGGTATTGGGCGCCCGCCGGCTCTTGGCCGCCTCCACCTTGATGGCGAACTCGTTCAACGTGTAACCGTTCAGATTCTGTATGGCATCGCGACCCTGCTGCTCCGTCTCCATGTGGACGAAGCCATAGTTCTTCACCACGTCGCACTCGACGACGGTACCGTACTTCTCGAAGAGCGCCCGCAACTCGGTGGCCTGCGTCTTCTCGTCGAGATTCCCGATGAACAACTTGAACGTGCCGGCTCCGGTCATGGCGGCAGCGGGTTCCGCAGCGTGGTCGTCCACGGTTATTTCGTTTCTAGTACTCTGGGTGGGGGAATCCCGGAAATATGGCTATCTACGCGGCGGCGGCGGCTGCGTCGGAAATATAGTTCTGTATATATATATTTGTATATCGCGGTTGAGCGGCGACGGCGGCGGACAAACGCGTTACCTCAAGGGAAGAGAAGACAGGCAGGTTGTTTTCAACTATTTACGAGCAAGGGGAAACATTTAGGCAGCAGTACAAGGAGCGCGATTACCAGTAATCTCTACAAATTCCGGTTTTTTTTTTCTTTTGCGTTGGCCCTAACGCATACACAAAAAAAAGATGGCGGCGATTGGAGTTCACATTTTCTCACGGTTCTCGTTGCTTTCATTGGCGTGGCTTTCAAATGCGGTACGGATAATGCGGGGGGACTTACCTGATCTTCCGGGATGTAAATTAAAATTTAAATGCACAGCTTTTACAGTTTTTACTTTCCAAACAGGACTGTGCGGGTTGAATTTTCCAAATCGATTTGATTGATGTATCACAGTATGACCGTGTGGCTTTCGGAGGGGTGTGACCAGAGCTCACATCTGTTTAAATGTCCGAAAAATGTTAAGCTGCTAAATTTATTGAAAACCGGTAGAGCTACTTGATCACTGATTACTGATCTTTGTTCTTCTGAACAATCAAACACAATTTTTCCATTAAATCATAATTAAATTTAAGCTAAATGGGAGTCTTCTTTTTTTAAAAATACTTGCCGTTTCTGTGCAACAACTCAAAAAATTGTGGGAAAATAACAACAGACTTAATATAATAATAATATATATTATAATTATAATAAGATTTAAATGGCTTCCCTGTTTATTTGTATCGATATTTCATCAAGTATTTCATTATATAATAATTAGATTTACATAAGCTAAATGGCTTTAGGCGCCGTTTGTTAAAAAATTATTCGAAAATTACATTTCCAAAATAAATTGTGTTTCATTTTGTATCGATATGCCAAGCCAGAAAAAATGTAACATGTAGCAAGAGAAGGTAGCGTCCTTGTTTTGAGCTCCTTTTTTGTGATCATGGTTAACATTTTTAGATCATTAACATAGTGAGAGTGGCCGTTCCGCGAACTCCAAGCAGCTGATTGTTTTGACAAGTGTTGGTCAACACCAGCAGAACCCACGATCGGTTAGAATATTTCCAACACTAGGTAGCTAAAAAAGCGGGAGTCTCAGTTTGGACAAAATTAATGCGAAATAAAGGAATTGTGAGCCATCATGGAGACGCCGAAGGGTAGTGGGTGCTCCACGCGCCCCGCTCGCACGGCCACCCCGCGTCTCTCGGAGCGCAAGCGGCAACTGTTCGGCAGTCCGGTCTCCAGGCTGCGCAAGATAAATGACGACGACGAAGATGAGGACGTAGACAGTCTGGGAGTCTTGCCCTTGAAGCCCCATGTGGCGGCCAACAAGCAGGGCAGAAGCCTCTTCTCCGAGGGCACGAGGAAATTGAGGAGCAGCTCCAGCAGCAGTCCGGAAACCAACAAGGAGAACAAGAAAACCCGTGGAGGAGTCGTCGGGGCTGCCACCGCAGAGCAACTGCCTCATTTGTTTACCACAACCATGCGGCTAAACAGCAATAGCAGCAACAACAGTAGAAACAGCAGCCCCCGCACACCCAAGGTGCAAAGAAAACGGGCGGATTCGTCTATGTCTTCGCCGTCCTCTTTTGAGGAATCCCCATCCCCACGGAAGGAGCGGGCCAATCCCAGTCCCACAACGGCGATCAGGACCAGCTGCCGACGCAGCCCACGTACCTCTAATGCGCAGAAGAATCGGGAAGTGTTTTCTTCACCAGAAACTTCCATCCAAGCCACAGGAAGTAGACAAAGCAAGGTCAGAACAATTGGTATGGGCACCCAGAGTGCAACCCCTGCTGTAAAGTCTCCTAGAAGCAGGCAGAGCAACAATATAAGGACCACTGACCAAGTAGATACCATTAAACCGAAAAAAAAGAGCCCGGAGAACAGCAGTAATGGGCCAAAGTCTCTTGTTGAAATATCCCATTTGAAGGCCGAAGTAATCCCAATTGGTAAAACCTCCAAGAACAGAACCATAATAACGGAGAGCAACAGTCCCAAATCTGCCATTAGCCCATCAAGACGTGGACACTGGAAAACCACATCTACTGAAAAAGAAATACCTATTGTTAAAACCAGATCAGAGAGCTTGACCAGAAGCAGTGGAAGTCCATGTTATCCTACTGAAGCGCCAGCCTCTAATGACGATGAAAAGCCAATTATTGAAACCCCAACAGTGAATCTAGAAAATAGCACCAAAAGAACCGACTTCCCAGTTGAAGTGCCCAGTGATGTCAAAAATATTAAAACCACAGTAAAGAGCCTTGAAATCAGCAGCAGAAAAATTAAATACCCAGTTAAAGTGTCCGATTCGGATGAAGAAGAAAACATTCGTGTGCCCCTAAAGCGAGAGCACCCAGACACTTTATCCACCAAGGTTTCCTCTTCTACAGAATCCGACTCTGGATCGCCGCAGAGCAAGATGCGCAAGATGACGCTGAAAAGCAGTATTCCCACCATGGCCTTCTATTCCCACAGTGGAGCAACTGCTACAAAGTCGAGAGGCACGCCCACCACATCTAAGACTTCAATACGGCGAACGACAAAAACCTCGCCAAACTCCCGCCCACAACTGGGTATCAACAAAGGAGTAAGCCACAAAATACGCAAGCGCCAGGGACTTCAAAAAAGACTACCAGCCACAGATTTGAAAAACATCCTCAACAGTCTGAGCAACGAAAGGCTGAAGAACCTGATCACCACCAAGCGGGAGGAGCGCGCAAAGGTGGAGGAGGTGCACCAGATCCTGCGTAGTGCCAGGGATCCAATCAAAATGGCCAAACCATTAAGTGTGATTGAAGCTGACGATGCCAACAATAACAATAATATGCCAGTGACCATGTGGCAAGAAACATCCGCCGACTTCTCCGACCTCAGTGAGGATGAGGACAAGGCTCTGATCGATAGTCCCATCATTGAGTTGGAGCCCATTATACCACTGATTCGGCACGAGCCGGTCTACAATGCCCCGCCAGCCGAGACAGTGGATCTCAGCAAGCGCAAGTTCTTCAAATCCGGCCGGCGGAGCAGCACCTGCATGGAGGTAAGGATCACGGACAACATCCGAGCCAGTGTCAGCAATGGAAAGATCGCCCTGGTCCAAACGCCACGCCGGAAGCCACGGACAGTGCGCGTCAAGTCGGCAACGATATTTTCAGCAGAGCAGGCTACGGTGGATGCGATCCTGAAGAACTTGGATGACACGGTGATAGACGAGATTGTTGAATCAAAACCGATGGCTGTGTTCACGCCCATGGTTACGGAGGACACTCCCATGGACATAGAGCCCTTACCCGATATAATTGAGTATGCGCCAGAAATGACGGATGCTGAAATTGATCCCTTTGCTCTATTTCGTCAGCGTTTGCCCTATCAAACAGATGATCCCGACGTCGTGGAGCAGCAGAAAATCCTACTGGAGTTTCTCATTAGCAACAACATTTGCACAGAAGAGAATTTTGATATTTTCATAGCAAATCCGGACAACCACAAGGAGGAGGCCAATCGGATTGTTGATGATTTGTACATGGTAGTTAATAGCGAAGAGGCTGCGCAGGTGGTTCAAATGGAAGCTCTGCCGGAACCATTACTAGATAGCTTGCCACAACAGGATCCTCAAGCAATAGAGGATGTTCAGCCCAGGCTATTTCCCATATTCACGCAGCGCTTGCAGCCCGTTGTCCAGAAGTCAACGCGGCGTCGCCCGGATACATCCATGAGATTACTATCGATGGCAGCGGGGGGATCCAATCAGTACCAGATCGATGCGGGACAAAAGGCCTATGGAGCCCGGCAGTGCCAGCAGTGCGGATTGGTTTACACCGTTCACGAACCGGAGGAGGAGCAGCTGCATCGCGAGTACCACAACTCTATTCATGTCTTGCGATTCAAGGGTTGGATCGACGAGGATATTGTGGCCGTTTATCCGGAGTGGGCCAGCGATGGTCGTATCATTCGAATCAACGAACGCGCTCCGGCGGCCAGACTAGAGAGACTCCGGGACCTCATCGGGGTTGTGGATAAGGAGCTGGGCTACTCCTCGTACTTTCTGCCAAAGATCTTTGTGGCCTTCTTGGCGGTGCGGAAGCAGCAGATTGTGGGTTTCTGCCTGGTGCAGCCCCTGTCGCAGGCCCATCGGTTCATCCAAGTCGACGGCACGGACTACTTCAGCGAGGAGAGCTACGCGGCCAGGTGAGGATCTTTTAGATAATTTAGTTTTGTCAACATATAAACGTTTCCGCTTTTTCAGCTGTGGTGTGTCTCGTATTTGGGTTTCTCCCCTGCAGCGGCGCTCCGGGATTGCCAGCAAGCTCCTCCGTGTCGTCCAGTGCCACACTGTGCTCGGTCAGGAGATCGCCAAGGAGTACATTGCCTTCAGCACGCCCACCGACGATGGGCGAGCTCTGGCGCGCCAATTCACCGGGTTAGATAACTTCCTGACCTTCGACTAGTGATCGGGGAAACCGGCTATTGAATAGCTGAATTATTTTTGAGTTAGGATTGCTTCGGAACCTGTAATAGTTGATAAGAAAGAGCGATTACGTTACGAGCGGCAAGAAGGCGCGGTATTTCATTTTTTTCAATTGTGGGCCTGAATATGCCTGTTTTTTGCAATAATTTTGATTTCTCACCCTTGTTTTGAATCGCGTTATTTTCGAAAATATAGATAATTATTGTTTCATATTTGGCTTACTTTTTCATGGTTGACTTTGGTTCTGTTGCAGTAAATTGCAGTATCTTTTACAGTTAAAAATTTATCAAATATAAAGGTAAATTTTCTGTTAAAATGAGTGGCTCGAAAAAAATATATGATTTTGTTTATACGACTTCTTTCAAGAAAAAAGAGATTTCTCTTTTATTCTTTTTGATCCGATTGCGATGAGTTTGAGAGTTTTCCATGCGGCTGCTGCTGCTGTCATGGTGCTGCCTTTTGGACCTGGGGGGAGGTATTCATTTTTTAACTTTTCACCTACTTTGATTTTGTACCACTTACTTTTTTTTTATTTTTGTTCGTGTGTTTGCAGAAATCGTTTTAAAATAATTTATTAATTTTTTACTAGACTAAATTGTCTAATTGGCAAATGAAATACTTTAGATCTTCGCATGCTGCATCATACATTTCATCATTTATCATTGAAACGCAGTCCCCCTCGCCTTCGAAGGAATTGGGTTCGTAGTGGAGGTCATTCCACATAAAAAATTGGGCAAGGTGTCCAGAAGCCACAGATACATACTGGCCCCCTTCTTTGATATCGTTAACACCCAGCCAGTACCAAGAATTTTTCATAAGTTTCGGTTTTATGGCGTCATACTCCTCTTGATTTTGGATGGTTGCCAAATAACCTCCCCTTTGACGACAGGTTACTTCAGCATCAGCCCAATTTTTAGTATCTGTTACAATATTAAAATATCTTGAGCCAATTAGTTCAAATCCTGGCGGAATGAGTCGACTTTCAATTTGCTGTCTCTTAGGTGTATTCGCTTCATTTACTTTTTGAATTGCGGTTAATTTCAGCAGGATTTCTTGTAGTATCTCCAGTGTTTCCTTCTGAATTATTTTGATATTGGCCTGGCTTTCTTTTTGACTGTCAATTTCTTTCTGAATGTAACTAATATCATCAACTAAAGGATGAAGTGCTGAAAGACAGAACCCCCCACATTGAATTGTGGCATCCGTCACAACACATCGTTCGTCTTTTTGCATTCCGTTCATTTTTGCTAGTGTTTCTTTATGAATTCTTTCCATATTCAATAGATTTGTTTTTTTAATTTGTTCCAGCTTCTTCAGGGTTTTCATTTGAACAGCGCTTATATGGGCTAGTTTTGCATTAAGATTGGATTGTGGAATTTGTGTCTGCTGGGGTTTATTGGCAATGGGATATGCATAACCTGTCTTTTCGGAATACACATTTCCATACAGATTGCAGCCTACAATGGCGTAGAAGATACAAAATCCGAAACAATACATTATTAACACGACAGAATCGAATGCGTGAGTGCTGCCAGTGGCATGTGCGAAGCACAAGAATCCTCAGGAATAAGAGTGACCAGTGCAGAAATAAGTATTCCCAACGGGACTCGATTCGATTCTATTTTAGTAGCCAATGCCTTGATATAAAATATTAAAAAAGAAAAAATGTAAAAAGTTAATTTTTTTTTGTTAAATCTTCCATAAAAAGTTTAGTTTCTACGAAATTTTTACATATTGCAAATATTGCAACTTTGCATGCAAAAATAACGCTTGCAGAACTATTATATCACGAATTTTTAATGAGGAAAAGCCAACTTCGGCAAGCCGAAGTTTATGTACCCTTGCAGTTATTACAAATCGACCAAATTTCGATTTCTATGCCTATATTACTAAAAACGATGAAGCTCCGTCGATTTTGGCTGCATTTTGCCAACATTTATATGGCAGCTGTATGATATTGTTGTCCGATTTTAATTTAATTTAAACCGTAATTCAATAAAATTTAAATAAAATCAAATCAAAAAAAAATTAAAAACAACAAAGTTATTATTTTTATACCCGTTACTCGTAGAGTAAAAGGGTATATTGTATTCGTGCAAAAGTATGTAACAGGTAGAAGGTAGCGTTTCCGACCCTAAAAAGTATATATATTCTTGTTCAGGATCACTAGCCGAGTCGATCTAGCCATGTCCGTCTGTCCGTCTGTCTGTCCGTCCGTATGAACGCTGAGATCTCGGAAATTATAAAAGCTAGAAGATTGGCATTTTGCATGTAGATTTTAGGAGTTCCTACGCAGCGCAAGTTTGTTTCAAAACACAAGCCACAAGCGGTGGCCACAGTTTTGATGCTAATATGAAAATTTTAATTGATATGTATCTGTTTCGTTAATACCTATCGATTTGCCTAATAAAGGTTTGCCACGCCCACTCTAACGCCCAAAAACCCATTAAACGCTTAAGCCTGGCTAGCGCCTACATTTCCGCCTTTCACGGCGCCATCTAACGGATGACTTTGGAACAACTGGCCAAGGTGCTCAACAGAGTCAACGTTAATGCTCGATAAGGATTTCTATTAAAGGAAATTGCGATGGTTTTCATTTGTCAATACCGAACTTTATCCCAAGAACTATGCAAATCAAATCAAGTTAGCCAAATTGGAGGTCTGAGTCAAACAATGGCGTATGTGTGTATGCTGGTGCAGGACAAAAGCTACCTGCGCTAAAGCAGCGCTGGTGCTGATGCTCGTGCTGTAAAGCTGCCAGCTCTAAGAGATCGCCGAATTCAAATTGATAATTTAAACTTTTTGTCCTTTTTTCCTGTGGTCACTCTAATTCACATTATGTTAATGCAAAATCTAAAGTTGTTTAGCTAAGTAACGGGTATCTAATAGTCGAGGCACTCGATCCGACTTATATACTACCTGCAAAAGAAAGACAACTTTTGGGAAAGTTTCCAGCAGATAGCTTTAAAACTGAGCTACTAGTTTGCGTAGAAACGGACAGATGGACGGACATACGGACATGGCTAGATCGATTCTTCTGTTGATGCTGATCAAGAATATATATACTTTATAGGGTCGGACTTTTGACTTAAATTATAATACCCTCTGCAAGGTTATAAATATGGCGAATTTCTTGTTATACCCTTGCAGAGGGTATTATAATTTTGGTCAGAAGTTTGTAACGCAGTGAATGAGACGTTTCCGACCCCATAAAGTAAATATATTCTTGATCAGGATCAATAGAGGAGTCGATATAGCCATGTCCGTCTGTTTCTATACCGTTTGTGAGCTCAGTTTAAAAGCTAGCGATCTAAAACTTTCACAGTCGTCCTAAAACATGTTGTAATAACTCACAAAATGGATATCTCTTAGCAAAAAAACACGTTTATATTCCAAACTGAATTCACTCTTTTTATTCCGAGACCACACACTGTTGGTTTGCTAGCGGTATATATTAGACTGCCCGCATTCCTCATGCCACGTTGTCAGGGTTCCCACCTTCGGAACCGCTGCTGTAGGGTTCGATATTTGCAGCGGGTTGCCACATCCCTCCTTTTTTTTCCAGTCCCAGTTTCAATCCTTGGTCCGGGCTCGGTTCTTTCATATTGGATGCCTGCGGTGGTTGAAGTTCAGACTGCTGTGCATGCTGGAAATCTTCTGGGGAAATCAGCTGTGCTTCGGGTAAGAGACCAGGTTTGGATGTATCGTTCGGTGACCTCTCACTGGGTACCTTTTTAAGGTGACTAATGATCCGCGTTAAAACGCGACCATCTCCTGACACTGTTACGATGTTCCTCTTCCTCTCAATTACAGCATATGTAGTGGGGTCGAAACTAGGTGTTAGTTTGTGCGGGAATTCAACATTCTTGATTAGTACCTTGTCTCCTACTTCGATGTCGATATCCCTCTCCCCTCTCTTTCTGTCAGCTAAATCTTTTCCCTTTTGCTTAACACATACATCGCGGTCTCGCTCAGCCGAATCTAACATTTCGCCTCCTAAGTTTGGCATCTTATCTCGAATCAATCTGTTGAACATTAACATCGTGGGTGCAGTGCCTGTACTGCCATGTGGAGTTACGTTATACATATGAACAAACTTTTGGATTTCTTCTTTATAGTTAGCCTTGTTTTGATGAGCTATCTTTAATCTCTTCCCTAGTGACTTGTTCATATTTTCTACCTCGCCGTTTGCCTGGGGCCAGTAGGGCGGAGTTCTAATCTGTTCGATTCCAGAGATCTTACAATATTCTTTAAATTCGTTGCTGATGTACTGTCGTCCATTGTCTGTCTTTAAGTATTTTGGAAACCCAAGTCGGCAGAAAATTTCTTTCATAGTGTTAATTATGCTTGTGGAAGTTATAGTACGAAGGAACTTAAATTCCATGTAACGTGAAAAATAGTCGATGAATACGAGCAAGAACTCGCCGTTTGGCAATGGACCCAGTAAATCGAACGCCACGTAAATCCACGGACCCGTTGGAAACGTCGTTCTGTTCATCGGTGCTGGATTGCTAGCTTGGGAGACTAAAAGGCAATCTTTACAAGACTTTACGAATTTTTCAGCCTCCCGGTCAATCCCAGGCCACCACACCTTGGAACGCAATCGGCGCTTCATTGCGGATTCGCCCGGGTGACCCTCATGGGCTAACTCCAGTGTCTTCTGCCGAAGAGAAGTTGGGATTATTATTCGGTCTCCTCTCAATAAGATTGAACCAACTGTCGATAACTCATGCCTGAATGGGTAGAGCCTTTTTGATATCGCCGATGTCCAAGAATCGTCATTCAGGCAAGTCATAGCATCGACTATTTCTTCGTCCCGTATGCTCTTCTCTGCTACTTCGGATATACTCATTGATGCCGGGATTGAGCTCTGTAGTATGTGCAGAATGCTATATTCTGCTCGTGGCTCCAAATCCTTTGTTGATGTTATGCAGCATAGTCGAGACAAAGAGTCTGATATATTTTCTTTTCCGGCTTTAAAGATAACCTTAAATTTGAAAGCCTGTAAGCGAAGAAGCCATCTTTCAATGCGAGCTGGTGGTTTTGATGACGGTTTAAATATAGTCTCGAGTGGCTTGTGGTCGGTAACTAATTCAAACTCCAATCCTGCTAAGTAGTAATAGAACTTTTCCACCGCCCATACTAATGCCAAGCTTTCCTTTTCCGTTTGCGAGTACCGAGTGCCACAGGGCTGGCATCGGCAATCAGACGTGTTCGGTGGTTTATGTTGAAATACGAGAGTCTGGGTATTTCGGCCAATCTAATTTTTAAATCATCGAACGCTGCTTTCTCTTTAGGGCCCCAAACAAATTTAATTTCTTTCCTTAACAACTGTCCTTTCCACTTGGGAAACGGGGTAATGCATTCCATTCGATTTACTTGCAATCCCAATGCGAGGACCTTCAATTGTATGGCGGTATCTCGGCCTAATAGTGATTGTGTCCCATTTTTAATTACATAAAATGATGCGACTACCTCTGTGTTTGAGCCGACTGATATGGGAGCTCGAAAACACAAATTACGCTGAGCAATTTGTTTGAGGCGTAGCCACGAAACTGTCTCTCGGAATTTGATCTGATGTTGAAGACTACTGCTTTGTTTTGTTCCATTGACAACCAATCCAATTGACTGATTAAATTAAAACGGGATCCTGAGTCAATTATTAGTGAAACAAGTTGGCCACCGATGTAGCAATCAATGAATTCATCGTCTTCACCATCACTATAGATACGGAAACAATTATCTTTCGTTGCCTTTACTTCAGAATAGGTATCTGCATCTTGAACCCATCGTACGTGTGACCGTACTGGCTTGGCGCCATTATTATTTGGCTGTGTGTACTGGCGTTTGAAACTTGTTCTGCATTTCTGGGCGAAATGTCCGATGCGAGTGCACTTGTTGCACTTAACCTGCCGTGCAGGGCATGTGGCGTTATCATGCGCGTGCCCGATGCGACCACATCTGCCACATTCGGTTTCCTTTTCAGAGTTTCGGTTGAATATCTTATTTATTGTCTCTTCCGATTTGGCTAGCATCGATTTGGATTGCTTACTAATTTCCTTGTCTACTCGACAAGCTTCAATGATTTCAGCCAACGTGTGTTCTTTTTCCAATAGTTTTTTCTTTAATTGAAAGGAAGTCCAGGAATCCATAATTTTATCTTTTAAACAAATCTCTTCAATTTCGGCCTTTGTGGTTCCGAAACAGCATTTCTGCATTTGCTGACGCAAACGGACAATAAATTTCGCAAAACTCTCGCCCTCCAAAGGAGAAAGGCTCCTAAACAGATGCCGTTCGAAGGTTGAGTTTTGCTTTGACGAAAAATAATCATTTAGTTTATTCACCAACACCAAAAATACATCAGTCTGTTTATCCTCGTCTGGATCGATCAAAGCATCGGGCAACGAATAAGCGACCGTTTGTAACTCAACGCCTCCCAAGTGAAGTAATTTGCTCCGTCTCTTACTGGGTGTTTCAATGTCCTCTGCGTCGATATATATTTTGAATGCCCGAAGCCATTTTTCCCACTCGCTCCGCAATAAAGACCTTTCTATTGTTTCACAAAGAAATGGTTTAATAATATTTTCGCACATCTTGTTATTTATTATCTGAAAGTAAAAGAAAAAAAAAATTTTTTTTCTTTTAACTTTTATTAGGGCTAACTGCCTCTGACCGTGTCAGCTTGTGTTTTTGGCTAACTGCCTCTGACCATGTCAGCTTATGATTTGGCAAACCGCCTCTGACTGTGTCAGCTTATGATTTGGCTTACGGTTTCAACCGTAACCAATAATTCGATTCAAAATTATTTTCATTTGTTTTAACTTGAAACTAACTGTTCCTCAGTTAATTATTTCGCATTTCTGTTTTGCGTTTTCCTCTGCTCTTTTACAATAATTCTCATGACTTGCAACTTAGTGTCACTCAGTCCCTCTCTTAAGTGGAGCTATGTATTCGTTTTTGCCTTTGAATCAAAATTCTCTTTTTGACTCAATTGACTTTGTTTCGATGTATTCTCGAATTCACGAATTCCTCTGTCATTCCCACCATTCGGCAACGAATGACCGAAAGGAAGAAACAGAAGGACTGTTCTTGCAAGTCACACATACATGCGCACTAAAATACTGCAATGCCAATAAAACTATTTTCATTTGCAGCCATTCCTCTTAAATGTATGTTTAGAATTCACCAATTATAGGTCTCTGTTTTACCTCGTCGCCAATGTAATAACTCACAAAATGGATATCTCTTAGCAATAAAAACACGTTTATATTCCAAACTGAATTCACTCTTTTTATTCCGAGACCACACACTGTTGGTTTGCTAGGGTATATATTAGAATGCCCGCATTCCTCATGCCACGTTGTCAGGGTTCCCACCTTCGTATCCGCTGCTGTAGGGTTCGATATTTGCAGCGGGTTGCCACACATGTGTACGCAGATCAAGTTTGAAAACCGACCGGATGGTTATATCCTATACCTCACATAGGAACAATCGGATATAACTTGCAAGAATGGAAGATATTTCGGGCAGTGTAAAAGCTATTGACATAAATCTATCCAAATCTTATTTTTTTATGAATACCTTGATCAGGGTTAAAGGGCGTGCCGATCGGACGTCTATATTTATATTCAATTAGGTACAAAATGAGACCAATTTTGTTTGTTTCCCTGCTATTACTTGTGGCGCAAATTGGTGAATCCCAGGCGGCGGCATTTTCCGTTCGTCAAAACCGCTTCGATGAACTTCCAGATCCACAAACTGCAGCTCCAGATCTTCCTGAACTTCCGGATCTACAAACTCCAGCTCCAGTGGCCAGTTCAACAGAAGCTACTGAGAAATCTGAAAAAGTCACCAGCGGGTTGCTAAAAAAATGTGAAAAGTGCATTTTCAAGGTATAAAATGTGTGCCCCAATTCCAGTGCCCCGCCCACGTTCGCATGGAAAGCCATGAGAAGCCGCAGATTTGCGATCTTCCGGCTGGGAAATTCGGCTACTGCTGCCAGACGGGACAGAATCACACTGGTCCACGGTTGGAATTTTCAGCCAAGGAGCGGCGATCGAGATTTCCCACCATCCTGTCACCTGCAGTTCTGGATGAGGCACGTCGCAATTTTGAGCATCTCCTCTGCATGGAGTGGCACAGATTCCTGTTCGCCGTGGTTTTCCCGATTTTGCCCACGGCCTGGTGTTCCATTCGACGGCCAAAGATGATTTTCACAATTTTGCCATTTCGAACAGTGCCATCGAACAAGTGATGACCACTCAGTTGTTTGGTAAGAAGGAGCAAGTTCCCTTGGACGATTTTATTACCAACAATGTACCGATCAAGTTCACGGAAACTCCGTTGGCTCAGCATTGTCAGTCGAATGCGATTTGCCGGAATGTGCGTTCGGCTTATCGCAACTTAGATGGCACATGCAACAATCCCCTCCCTCAAAG